CTGGCCAAGACCCTCACCCGGCGCCAGCAACGGTGAGCGCAAATAAGCCGCTCAAAATCTTCTTTGGGAACATCACTTCCTGGTCCCTCAAAGCAAAGCAGCGAATTCTCAGCCAAGAGGTCGACATTTGCGGTGTCGCCGAACACCATCAGGGCCCTGAACATTGGCCCCAGTTCAAAGTGGATTGGCTGACGGCTGGCTGGCAGCCGGTCATTGCCAATGCACGGTGCAACGAAACGGGAGGAACAACCGGCGGAGTTGCGTTGGCCTTCAGGAAACACCTGTCTCGCCTGGACGCGCCGGGAAATCATGACCACCGTTGGACTGCGAGCATTTTCCAAGCCAAAAACACAGAGATGCTTTTGGTCATGCTCTACTTGCAGGTTGGCGAAGGGCCCACCGGATACACCAACCGACAAGTGCTCACAGAAGTTGGTGCTTTAATCCTAACGTTGAACATCCCCTACATTGTGATGGGGGACTTCAACTGCGAACCAGAGGAGTTGCTAGAAACAACTTGGCTTAGGCGCATCAAGGGCAACATTTTGGCCACTCCAGATGCCACCATTAGTTCTGGGAGTGTCCTGGACTATGCAATCCTCTCCCATAGCCTGTGGGGACGGATGGAATTAGAAGTTCAGCACGATGTCCCGTGGGGCCCCCACTATGGGCTGCTTGGCACTTTACACCTGGACGGGCCTCTGCTCCAACCTTGCGAGATGCTGGAGGACAGGCCGCCTCTGGATTTGTGCTCCGGTCCGAGGCTTCCCTGGGAATCTTCTACTGCCTTGGAAAATTTTGACACCAGTGCGATGCCAGAGTGCAACCATTTTCACACGGATAGTGAGCTCACTCAAGTTTTCGGCAAACTGCAGAGACAAGTTTCCAACTTTTTGAGTTCCACTTCCGTGACTCCTGTTCCTGCACGTGGTATTTCTTTCCAGGTTAAAAACCAAGAGCCCAAAGCGCCTGTACTAAGAGAAACCTCAGTCCAGGACAAGCAGCTTCAATACTGGCTAGGCCTACATAGATTGTTCAAGGATATTATAAGTTGTTTGCAGAAGCAAGTCAAAAATGTCCGCCGCCATTTGCAGACTCTAGTCAAGTGCTTGTGTCGGAAAGTCCACCGAATGCCAGAGCATTGGACGGCAGATCCTTGTAAAGGCCGGTTTGGCCTGCTTGGCCTTCAGTATAGCCTGTATCATGTCCTGCATTTGCGGCCCAGCACGAGAGAGATGCTGCGCCTGCAGCTCGCTGACATCGAGCGCACACTGCAGGGCCAAGTCCTGAAGACAATACGTCAAGAATTTGCTACATGGGCCGAAAATGCTATGCGAACAGGCAGTCGGGCCATACATAGGTTTCTTAAGCAGCCTGAGGCTCAATGGGCCAGACCCTTTCAGCACCTGCCCGCGCAGGCCAGAATGAAAGCCAGAGTCGAATATTGGTCAGGCTTTTGGGGCAGCAAAGATCCGGCTGCGCAGCCCACCCTGATTGAAATCCAAACCAAAGAAGCCGCCATAGCAGAAGCCCAGAAACAAAAGCCAATCAGCAGCTCTCAACTGCGCAAAACTTGGCAGCACATGGGCAAAAAGAAGCAAGGCCCGGATGGGTGGACGATAGCAGAGTTGCAGCGATGGCCAGAGGAAGCTATTAGCAACCTTGTTTGGGTTTACCACCAAATTGAAAACACAGGAAACTGGCCGTCCCAAGCCGTTTTCACACAGATTGCCTTGTTGCCTAAAAGCATAGTTTCAGAAAGGCCGATCTGCTTGACCAGCTTCTTTTATAGAACCTGGTGCCAGATGCGAAGTTACTTGTTGAGCAGGTGGCTGCACCATGTGCAAGCGGAAAATTTGACACCATGGGACCACGCCATGCCAAAAGGCACTATTTTTGACATCTCCTTCCACCGGCAAGGTCAAGCAGAATTACTCAAAGGCCTTGGAATTCAACAAGGTTCCATCCTGTTGGACTTGAAGCACTTCTATGACACGGTATGTCGCCAAAAACTGCTGGAGGCAGGCAGAAAACATGGTTTCCCGCCAATGCTTTTGCACCATGCCATGGTAGTTCATGGTGGCCCGAGATTCCTTTGCGCAGAAGGGCAGAGTTCCCAAGCTGTGCACACGGAGCGCAGCATAATAGCAGGGTGCCCTTTTTCTGTTGCCTTAGCAAAACTTTACCTGTGGGAAACTTGCAGCTTAGTGTATTGCATCCATCCGTCTCTGCGAGTGTGCTCTTGGGTAGATGACATTTCAGTTGACGTGATCGGCCGCAGCCCACGGCAAGTTGCCGATCGAATGGTGAAAGTCTTCCAAACTCTGCAGGCCAGCTTGAAAGAAGCCAAATTGCAGCTCAGCCCAAACAAGTCTGGCATTGTAGTCAACACAAGAGAGCTCAAGCATTGCCTGCAGCAAGTCGCAAACAAAGTTCCGCAGGTGCAGTCAGTCCTACGCGACTTGGGTTGTGATAGCACCGCCGGTAGACTCCGTAGATTGCCTACTTTCAAGGCCAGATTTGGCAAAGCTAGAAAGCGGCTCAGTAGATTGAAGTACCTCCCCAAAGCTCATGGCCACAAGTTTGTTTTCACCAATCTCGTGCCAACTATGAAGTTTGGGCACCAGGCCCAAGGAGTCAGCCTCACAGCCTTGCAAAAAAATGCGGGCGGTCATCGGCCATGGAGGTGCTCTTAGGAAGGGATCTGGTTGCCTGCACACTGCCATTCGCCTCGTTTTTGATGCCAAAAGTGACCCAAACATTTTTATCCATTGGAACATTTTAGGCAACTTTGCAAATTCTTTAGCGCAAAGGCAGAGACCCAAATGAAGATGTGCAATCAAGTTTGGCAAAGTCTTGCCAAACAAGTTTTCCAGCATGACAAGCACTGGTCCATAGTCAAGGGGCCACTCGCTGCTGGTCTTGCATACCTGAAAGACGCTTTGTGGGAAGCGCATGACTTGGAAACTTGGATTGACCCCACTGGGCAAAGCTGGCCAGTTGATGTCAGGGACCCGGACTTCTACTGGCGTTTCGCTGAGCGTTTCCAGTTTTGCAAGGATTTGTTAGGTTGGCATATTGCCAGTCACTGGCAAGGAGGTCAAGGCCTTGAACAAGGCGGAGACTTGTTTGTTGCCAAGAAACACAGGAAGCAGTTGGCCAAAGAGAAAGGGAGTGACTTACCCCTTCTGGATTTGATGCTGCAGGGAGGCCTCTACCATGGAAGCCAGACTGGGTTTGAACCATGTCCTCTCTGCAGCACGGAAGACGGCTTGTTCCACAGAATTTGGCAGTGCCCAGCGATGTTACGTCATGTGGGGGATGTGCCGCCAGCTTGGGCGCCCCATGTGGACGAAACTGCGTTTTGGTGCAGAGGCATTCCCCCGATTTCTTGGAGCCAAGTCAGCCCTGGCCCACCGCACCTTCAAGGTACTGGCATCTGGGCCAATTTGATCCCTGTCTCCACTGCCGGCCTCATATTTGCCACTGATGGGTCTGGAGGGCCTTTGAGTAAAGAGCCACGCTTGCGGCAGGTTGGATTTGGTGTAGTGGCCCTTGCAGCTGTCGGCCCTCACTCTGTTGTCGGCACCCTTGTAGGAACCATCCCAGGCCGACAAACAGTGCCAAGAGCAGAAGCTTTTGCGTTTCTAAAGCTGCTAGAAATGACTGAAGGCCCCGTTCAAAGCTGCATCGATGCCAAAGCTGTTTTTAGGAAATGGAAGAAACTCAAAGACATCACCCAGCTGTCTGCCGACTTGGATATCTGGGGGCCATTAGCTAGGCAGAAAAAGGAAAGAGCTGAGGTTGAAATTCACTGGACGCGATCTCACCTGTCAAAGACAGAACATGAGCGACTGTTTCCAGACCAGCAGTGGATGCACCAAGCTAACGCAGAGGCGGATCACACGGCTTCTACCTTTGCCGATCAACTTGCTGAATCGCTGAACCTGAGAGCTAAACAGGAACTGTTGACCTGGGTAGATGCTAGAGTGCATAGGATCCAGACACGTTTGATTGAGGTTGCCAGATTCTGGCTAAGCCAGAAGGAACCAGGAATCAGTAAACCGTTGCAAGTACAGAGTAGCCCCAAGCCTGCCACTAGGAGTGAGCTCATTCAGTTTTTGCACGTCACGCATTCTCGTCACCTGTGGGGTCCTGTTCTTTCTCAGGGGTATGGTAGCAGGCGGTGCTGCACCCGCTGTGAGCTCACGATTTTGGCCTATTGGGGTAAACACAAGGTTTCGGTTTTAGCTGGCAAACCTTGCTTTTCCAGCAGCGCGGATTTCCTTGGGCCTGTTGTGCATCCTTCTCATCGTTTGACTTGGTGTTCGGACCCTAGAAGGCACAGATGTGTTCAGTGTCGAGCTCAGGGAACCACGGCGCAGCTCTTTTTGAAACCCAGTTGGCGCAAACCTTGTGCCAGAGAGACTAAGGGCAGGAGGCTCTAGAGCTTCGGTTTTGATGGTGTTGCTTAGGAAAAAAAAAAAAACTTCTTTTCCCATGACAACACACAGAGGTGCCATGTGAAGATCTATCAAATATAGAAGCATCTGCTATGATGCCACTTGCTGGATGCTATCTTTTCAGCAACCCCCAACCAACTGGCCCGAACCTGTTATATAAAGCCCTGTTTGTTTGACGTACAGCACCCGTAGGCCTAGGCCTGTCCAATCCATAAGATCCCAGGAATCGCGGAGAAAACAGAAGGGCCACAGCAGCTCCATGTATGTGGAAAGGTGGAAAGGCACCAACTGTCCTCTGTTTGTCAAACAAAAATAGGGGCACATCATACAGTGAGAACATAGTTCATTCAGCTTTCTATTGGCAACCCCCCAAAAACATATATACTTAGATAACAAACAATATATATATATAACTATATATATATACTAAACCAACAAAAGTCAAAAGTGTTTAAACATCGCTACAGATCATGAGGCCACCTGGATGTTCCACCTCAGATTCGGCCGCCCTGGGCTCGCAAAGATGGGCCTCCCAACTCAAGGCACCGGCGAAACTCAAAGCACCTTGATCTGGATGGGGCACCGAGGAACATGGACAGTGACTGGAACAAGAGACGGGTTGGTTTATGATGGCGATGTCCCAGTGAAAGTGTGTGGAGGGCAGTTATCGAACATGCTTTTAAGTATCTCCCCCACATCAATGATGTTTGAAGATAGGGAACCATGGACAATGAGTGCCAGGCTACCAGTAACAAGTATGTTTTGCCCATCCGTAAAATGGTTTCTGTATATCTCACCCAATCCCCCCATACCGCCATACCACCCGACCAATCGAAAGAACGCGGCACTGGGTCTGAGGTGGCTGGCACATAGTGACATAGTATGATAGTATGAAACCGGTGAGGCTTTTCAGCACGCACACATGTCCAAAAGCTCTTCCACTGGCACGACAAATAATGCTCACCTCTGAGTTCCCCTTTATTCAGTGGGCTGTCACAGTTGGGCTGCCTGCTTTTGGTGTGTCTATGGCACCATCACCATCACCAAAGCAATATGCATCAGTCTGATGGCCACCTCTGTTGTATTCTAATATATGATATATATATATATATCGCTGTTCTTTCAAGAGAAGTGTCGCTTAAAACTTAACATGAGGGCCCCGTTCCATCATGTTCATAACCAGTGTGTGTTGGTTTTGGCCGAGCCCAGTCTGATGCCTCCCATCTGATCCAACTGATCCAACCCCTCAGCCAGCGTGCTGTACTCTCCCAGCGACAAGCTCATGGCCTCAGCAAGCGGTCAAATCGTGAAGTTCCATGGAGTCTGCATCAAAGAGCGAAAGATCTCGAGCTAATGTTCAGTTCCATGGATTGCTTGTGAAAATGGAGGGCCCCCGAACCAGGCCCGATCTATGATTAAGAGGAAGTGAATGGGGCAATCTCTAATGGGGTGCACCGGCAAAAGGCAGAACAAATCGAGAAAATACTGGAAAGCACTAAGGACATCACGAGCGCCCCCTGCTGGAAAGCACCACCAAAAGCGGAACGTTCGAAAGGGCCTCCCACATCTGTAAACATAGCTACCGCGTGCTACCGCTACCGATGATGGAGCTTCCTGGGATGTCCTCCTATGATTCGAAGGCCGCCATCTGTGACCACAGAGTCTGACCTCATGCGGCTATATGCGGCTCGCCGGCTTGTTCTCCCCCCATACTTTCTCCACCCTAGGCGTCCCGGCCACAGTGGCCTCCTCAATGGCATCTTCACCACCCTCGGCGCGGAGCTTCTCCACGGCTGCCTGCACCGCGCGTGTCCGGCTCACGTGCGCGCACGCTGTGTGAAACGCGCAGGGAGGTGATGAGCGGGGTTGATCTGACCTCGAAACTCAAGCCAAGAGCATCGCTACTAGTAACAAGGGCATCGCTAGTGACAGGTGCATCCCAAGAGCACCAGTTGGACCGAAGAGCACCAATCATGGGAAGGTACGTGGAACATTATGGAATCCAAGGAGGCATCAGATTGAACGTTACGTTCAAACATAATTGAAAAAATTACAAACATCCACAAGCAGAACTAAAGACTAAAAATCCATTCCACGACATCAGAAGGGTCCCTTCAGGGCTCTGCCAGGCTGTTCGATCTCCTTGGCCCGGTGCAGCACAAAAAGGGCCGGACCTCCAGAGCTATAAAGTCCCAGGGGGTCAAACCTTCAGGAAGCCGGACCAACCAAACTCCACGCCACAGATCTCGAAATATCTCCTTCGATGTATCATCTCGGATCCGTTTTGGACTGGCTCAACACTTCACGCCGAGCAGAGATGTAGTTCTTCACACAAATTCAGTTGGCTTCTCATGAAGACTTTGACACCCCCACTCATGAAGGGTTCCCCTCGTCATTGACCTCAAACGACGGGTCCGGTCCCTCCGATCCCAACACGACGAAGACCCACACCATGGATGCCACGAAGATAGCAGGCTGCGAGACCGCAGTCCGATCCAACTCCTCGAGGGACTGCCGGGTGGGAGTGCCCAAGTGCCATGAGGATGTGCGGAGTGTGTGGCATCAATGATCAGGATGTGCGGCATGGAAAAGGAGTGTGGCATGGAAGAATCTGGGTATACGGAGGGACGCATCAAAAGAAGGATTGGTACCCGAAAAGGACTTCAGATGGGGTTTGGTTCATACTCATGTCCCATGTCTATCGTAATTGACTCCAATTCGGATCATGCGGAGTCGAACGTTCGGGCCTTCAGAGTCCAAAACGGGCCGCCGATGGCCGATCCCAAACCGGCCCAGGTCCTCCTTTGGGCCGTTGACGCAGCAGTCCAGAAGGTCATAACCTGCGGTTCGGCGCACCGAGCCTGGAGGCTGTACCTGTGACCTCGTCCACCAATTGATTGCCATGGCCATTCGAGCAAGTGCATGAGAAAGGAGAAAAGCAAAAGGTGTCTGAACTTCCCCTCTTTCAATGGTGGAAATTGATTCTGGTTCGACCAATCGTGAAGGTACACCTGATCAAAAGGCTTTCGAGTATTAATGAGCTGGAGCCGGATCGATTGGTTTGTCTTTAGTCCACAATGGCCCATTTCCCCCACAGCGATGGTTCTTTTGTCTCGTCGCACAGCAAAAAGGGCCTTAACATGAATGCCTTACAATCCAGATCTGTAGAACTCGTAGATTCTCTTCACAACGCTCAAGCCTCCAATTGGAGTTGGATAGGACAGCACCGATATATCCTCTAATCTTATCTATCATAATATATCATTACATATCGTATACAACATGGTTTCTTTACTATCCGGGTGTCTCTCTTGGTTTTCTTCCCCTTTGCACGCTCGACTGGGCACAAGTTTGGCAGCTGCTTTGCCGGGTTTGGGGCGCCTACGATGTCACTGGCCGTCTCAAACCTCGGGGTGTCTCGCTTGGGACACTTCGGTCGAAAAGTGGCTATGGAATGATATGGCTATTGTTCAAGTAAGAGGATACCTGTCAAACAGCCCTTGAGTAAAAACATGTAAATACGACTAACACCTGCGCTCCAGGGTTAAGCCGACCTCGAGACACTTGGCGATGTTGGTGAACGGGGACACTGCTTCACCACACAAGAATCACAATGGACTACCAAGGTCTACCTGCCAGAAAAACGCAGATGTTGACAACACAGCTACCTAAGAATTGAAGACGTCAAGAGAGCAGGGACATGGTCATATGACTCATGTCGCAACTGATGTCATATTGTGATGAATACAAGATGCATTTGATATCATTTGATCATGTGTACTATCTACTTGAAGACTCTTGACGATGCTATCAACGCGTCTGATTCCAAGCGCCTTTCCGGAGCACAAACCACCGCAATTCCTCTCGTCTCTCGTCTCTCCCACCGAGGCCACCGCAATTCCTTGGCTTTTGGAACCTGCGCGTCGGGGGTGTCCCAAACGGAATGGTCGATGAGGGTCGCTCCGCAGGGTCGCTCGGGTGGTCTCAAGACTCGAAGCACCTGCAGAAACGGCGCGACGAAGTCGTCGCAGGACTTCAGAACACGACAGCTGGCTAGACCGGGGAAAGAAACTGCCTGGACCTTCCAACTACCAAAAAAATATGGTTGTTTTGGTTTTATGGTCGTTTTGGTCGTTTTGTTTGTTTTGCGTTATTTTGTGGATTTTTGTGGTCGTTTGCTGGTTTTTTGCGCGCGTTTTGTGCTAATTTGCGGTCGTTTTGTCGGTTGCGCTGATTTGCGGGCGTTTGCGCGGAAAACCGGGTCAATAACCAAAACTACCCATAATTTTTTGGTCGTTGGAAGATCCAGGTGGCGATTAGGAGAAAGAAGAAACGGAAGTGCAAAAAGGACAGAAGATTCCAAGTAGTGACTAGGTCAAGATTCCAGGGAAAAAAGAAACGGAAGGATCAAAATCTCAAGATATCAAGAGCATGGAAAGCAAAAGAAACCAGGTGCTGGCAGATTGGCAGCACCTTGGAGTCCCATGGATGGCACATAGGTGTTCGGCTCACTAAACGGTTTGGCTTTTACCACCGTCGATGTCAAGCACATCAAGCACACTTTTCGCTTGAGGTCGCCTGACACTGCGTTGCGCGTCCCTGAACAAATGCTCGACTTGCAGTGGGTTCATGAGAAAGGGCGTACTGACGACGACGACAACAATACAACAATAACAACAAACCGTGCCCAACGTGCCTCAACCAATTCCTTGCACATCCCCACACTTTGAGCACCCTGCCCTAGCAAGAGGGCGCCGGGGAGCTAGCTCTTCGGGAACTGGGAAGACCATGATTTTGCACCAAAAGTAAGGAAAAGTTCAAACAGTGGTGAACACTCAGGAATCTCACCTCAGCCAGTGCTCCTCGGTTCTTCCTGACCTTTGGGAGGCACCCTTACTTTTTCCCAAAGCTCAACAAACTAGCGAACTCACTCTGCAAAAAGAATCTTGCAGGATGGACTCCAATTGTGCAGAGGTCCTCCCGAAGCCTCAAAGAAGGGTGTGTAACTCGTTGGGACGTGGGGCACCTTTTGACTCACAAAGAAAGAGGCACTAGACTTCTCAAATGGTTTTGCTAGCATCCCCTTTGAACTTCACATCTCCCCCTGGGAGGCCCCGTTCTATTGTACTATAATAGTCCTGGAACTTCCAACGAGCAGAAGTATCTGCCTCTTTGCCTATTCGTAGCACTAATCACCAAAACGAGCGTTTCATGATAGAACGAGCGTTCTTTTCAGAACGAGCGCTTTTTTTTAGAACGAACGTTTTTCTTATTTGAGCATGTCAGCTGCCGTCCACTGGAGCCATTTTTGCTCTGCCTACGGGAGCTCATCGATCCTTGAGGGATCTTAAGGGATATCTTCAACATCCTGCTGTGCGCCTTACCCCCGTCCACCACACGCATCTCCGTGACCACCCATTCGAGCGCTGTGCACGCCACCAGGTACTCTATGACAATTGCCTGGGAGATGTCAAGATAACAGGCAAACACGGGCAAACAAACAAGGGGGCTGCGCTGGAATTTGTTGAAACCATATTTGTGTGACTCTGCGCACCACTGATTTGTTGTTGCAGCCATTTGGGGGAAGCTGGGCCAAATCTTTTGCTAGCATAGTATCGGTGCCTAGCTCATGGCACACTCGGAAGTTGTGCGAGATCTTGTCAAAGCGTGGCAATCAGCCACGTCTTTGGTTGAACTTGCTGCTACAGGGGTGTTGGCAAAGGTAGAGAACAACAAAGTCATGAACCGGAAAGAGGTCTGCCAGAACGTCCAAGCACTCATTCCAGTGGTTCAACACCTTGGAACATAAGCTGCAAACACATGTTTTTGGTGTAAGTTCTTTGTTGTTCCAGGCTACATCATTTTATGTATGGCTCATGCGAGCATTAGCCAAGGAATGCGACCAGCCTTGGCAGAACTATCTGATGCCGTTGAACTCTTTCTGAATTTTGCCCGCCCACGGGGAAAGAAATTACCAACCCGCTGGGGTCTTATTTAGATTTGTTGAAGTTCAATTGAAACAGAATTTGCTGTCATGGTAAGTTATAGCTCCATATAGTGGGTTGATGTGGGTCGGGGGTTGGTATGCTAAGGCGATGAAGTCAGTTGCGAGGCATGGATCCTGAGAAACTTGGTCTATTGTGCCTCCCGTGCGATTAAACGGGGTCATCGTCCACGGGAACCTCAAATCAGAGCCATCATGGAAGCTGCCGACATCCCAATTCCCCCTGAACAGCCTACGTGGTCGGAGTGGCAAATTGGCTGCACATCACACTTTCCGGTATGTGCACCAGGTATCATGATTGAGTTTACCCTGTTGTTGATTTAAACCTCAGGCAACTCGTCTTCTGACCTATCTGCTGCTGTGGGTGACGTTGGTGATGGAGAACCTGATGATCTAGATGATGAATGTTATAAGTGTGAAGAAGAATGTCATGAGAGTGAACATGAGGAGGAGCATGACCCTGTGGTTGAGCCTGATGAGGCCCGCAAGAGCCATTTTGCCTGCACTTCTCATAAACAAGAAACTTAATAGCTAGACCTTTGGTGTCCTCCTTCAGCCCTCGCAAGGAACCATGTCCAGATGTGACTATGAAAGTGGAGACCAAAGAAGCTGACCCTTCCACTTCAGGCAGTGAAGTTGTTTTACTTGTCACTTTCCTTGTGACCCTCTTCATCTCTTCCCTTTGCCCCTCAGGCCCCAAACCCACTCACTCCAGGTCAACGCAAGCCGTCATCCACATCGAGCACCTACTGGATGGAACAAACTGCGCCCGCTGGATGTGACGGTGGTACCCCGGTGGCATGCATTATTGATGTGTAATAAGGCACTATTTTTTTTGGCAAACCTACTGAAACGATCTGAAATCGGGACTCTACTCTCGATGTCTCTTGTCAGCTTTGACTGTGACAAGGATCGCTGGCTGACCTTCCAGTTGGTCCTACTGAGCACCATATTGTCAAAGATCGTGCTTATGCATACCGGTGTGTCAAATGCTCCATGGTTGGAGATATCAGTGACTTGCGAGCTCTTCAATGCATACTACCACCCTTGCCAGACCAAAGCACACCTGAGATTCTGCCTCAAGCCTTACCAGCCTGCCATGAAGACAAGACTATCCTGGAGTTCTTGAAGGAAGAGGAACTCGCCATTCAACTACTCCAAGAAGAGTTGGCCATGGTCGAAATGGAGAACCAGCTCGCTGCTCTGAGGGCCTTCGAGAGGAAGAAGAGGGAGGAAGCTTTGGTGAAGAATGGCAAGAATCAAGAACCAAAACCATCAACCCATGGGAAGCCAGGCAAGATGAAGGAAGGTAAGATGAAGGAGCCAGTGGAATCCAATCCTTTCGATGCTCCGCCAGATTCAGATCAACGCAGCTTGTTCGACCTGGGTTGGGGCAGCAAGAAAGTTGGACCTTGCATCGCTCCTTCTGCTGCTTCGGCCGGTGTCTCTACCATGTGTATCCAAGCTGCATTCAATGGCTCCCAACATGTGCAAATCCATGTGCATGAAATAATTTGTGCCTTGTACATCCTGTATCATCCCGTACAATCTGAGGCGTGGATACAATGGATACTTTGCCTATGGACTATGAGGCACATGCGGTGGTGACTGAAAGTCAACCTGCCGACACCCATGAGGAAGGTGAGAAGCCTTCTCTTCAGTTGGCAAGAACTGCATCCCTTGGCTCAATCTGGGCACGTGAAGATGAAGTTGAAGAGGACCAGCCCCGCGAGGTTGGAGAGAAACCGTTGCCTGTTCCTGAGCCAGAGCCACAGGCGATTGTGAATCCATCGCCCTTGGAGAAAGAAACCAGTGAGCCAGCGCAGAAGCCTCTGCAATCTTCGGAATCCGGCGCAAAGCCAGAGGGATTGGAGAAAAGTGAGCCAGCGCAGGAGCCTCTGCAATCTGCGGAATCCGGTACAAAGCCGGAGAGATTGGAGAAAAGCTCGGGGAATGAACCGGTACCTCGACCTGATGAAGTTCTCCTTCCTGTGAAGCCCATCTCACCTGCTCAGCAGCGCGAGCGACTTTCGGAGTTCAAGGAGAACAACCCTCGAGGGAAAGCCAAGGCAAAGAATCAAGAGAAGAAGAAAGAGGATCAAGAAGATGACGAAGAATGCCAGCCCAAGGCCCGGCGGAGCCGGAAGAGAGAAGCCGTTGGTGAAGCAGAGCCAGCTAAGCCAAAGAGCAAGGCCAGGGCAAAGAAGCAGGAAGCTGTTGAAGCCTCTGGTGACAAAGAATCAAAGCCAAAAAGCCGGTCCAAAGCACAAGTGCTTGAGCCAAATGATGCTGATCGCCTCAGCGGACAGTGTGTCCAGGCAACCACTGCCGCTGAGCCCATGGCAAAGGCAAAGGCGAAGTCTGCGGCAAAGTCTGGCAAGGCAGCCAGTTCAACTGAGAATGCATCTGAAAGTGGTGCCAAGCCCACAGACAATGCAAAGGGCAAGGCAGCGGCTTCAACGGATGTTGAGGAAAAGAAGGAGCCCAAGACCAAAGCTCGAGCAAAGCGTGCCAAGGATGAAGCTGAGGCGGATGCAACACCTCCTGAAGCAACCGCTTCAAAGGAGGGGACCAAGACAAAAGGTCCAGGAAAGCGTGCCAAGGCAACTGCTTCAGATGCGGCTGAAGTGGAGAAACCGTCTGCCGAAACGGCTTTAGACGGAAATGCCAAGGCGGAGCCTTCCAAAGGCAAGGCTGCAAAGAAGCGTGGAAGTGCTGACGCTTCAGAGGAGGTCAGCCCTGAGGCCGCAGCCAAGAAGGCTTGCTACTCGAGGAAGTCTGCCGCTTACCACAAAGCCAAGGTGGCAGCCTTGAAGAATGGACTTGATGAAGAGAGTGCAAAACAGCTGGCCAAAGCAGCGCCTTGCCAGTGATATGTTTGGTGCAATGGGAAATGTTTTCATGCTGATCAACAACATTCATACGCTTCATATCGACCAGTAGTTTGGTGTGTGCGCATGCATGTGACTAAGGCGTATGCAGCAACTTCGTGATTGGTTGATTTTCATCTCCGTGATGAACACGGAGCGGGGTTAAGTCTGAAAGCTGCGGCGTTGGGCTGGGCAGGAACCACTGCTTTAGCCATAGGATCGTGCTTTCGCCGACCTTTTTGGGGGAAAGATTTGCGATGTGATATCTTCAGGCAACACGTGCAGCATAGCAAAGGATGCATGGATATTTTATTTTGCTGTTCTCTTTTGGAGGCCCCGACACGAGCAAGGATGTGGGTGCGGCGAGCACGGAGTAGTGGCCAAACCTGACCTGTTTCCAGCGGACAGCTTTGAGTCTTGTTCACGATGTGGTATGTTCATGTTTAGCTCGTTCGACATGTTTCAACGTGGGTATTTGGCGGATCGAAAGCCTGCACTGTAGCCTATAGGATAGCATAGTGCCATGTGGGACCCTGTATCCACACTTCAGCACGTGCAAGCGCCCAAGGCCTGGAGTGCTATAGATCGATATGCTAGCTACTAGCACTGTGCAAGTATGTGGTTTGATCTATAGTGCGATGGACCTGTCAGGCCTTTATTTGCCTGGCACCATCGCATGCAATTTGAACATTACCTATCAAAATGCGCGTGGCTTCAATCCTTCCCCATGATGGCTGAGGTATTGCTTGCCGGGTGGCTTGAGCTTCCCCAGAAACCATTGGGCCCATATGACTTCTTCGAACTCTTTGCTGGGCGAGCAGCTGTTTCACAACGGATGCCAGCTACCAAGACCCCTTAACATCCTT